CTGATACACCTTGGTTAAGGGCAACCCCTCTGGGCATTCTTGGAATTTGAATTAGGTGCTGACTCTAAGTAATCTTTCATCCTTTGCACCATCCCAGTCTTACTCATAGCTTTTGCTTACTTTGTTAATCTACCTCCCATTAAGAATGTAATTTTGGTGTTAGAAAAGCCCCATGTTGTCTTTCTTTGTGTCTGGGACACTGCATAGAGCCTGAAGCCCTTAGGAGATGTTTTTTGATTGGATGATTGATTGACTAGAAGACTATGTCCACAGGCCACAGAAGCCCCACCTTTGCATCCCCCTTTCTCTGTGCACATGTAGATTTGACATGAAATTACCTGACTTTTGATCTTGTATCAAACCTCACTATGGATGACCTCCCATGTGTGCCCAGCCAAACTGCTTCTGAACCTCTTCTTCACTTCCAGACCAGAAGGACACCATCAAGAAAAGAGCCTGCTGGGCCGGGGATTTAGCTCAGTGATTTTGACATCTGCTGTGCAAGCGCAAGGACCCGAGTTTGATCTCTGGTACCAAAAAAAAAAAAAAAAAGAAAGAAAGAAAAGAGCCTGCTATACAAGAGAGGAGTTCATGGGGATATGGTTTGGGTTTACAAAGACTCAGACTTTCATAACTGACTTATAAGAGGCTATAATCACAAATTTTTGTGTATCCTTAATATCCTAACTTTGAAAAAATAATACAGACTTATGAATGGGAAATGGACTCTGTGACAAAAATTCAAAGCTATCCTGTGCTACTTTAAAAGCAATAGCTTCCAATCAAGGTATCTTCTTGGATTATATCATTGAAAGGAACAACAATTAGATAATAATTAACAAGAGCAGTGATTTTGGGTTCCCAGCAGTAACATGTTTCTTGATGGGCATTATGAGATTGAAGGCTAAAGTATGGAGCAGTCCATTTCAAACATGCAAGGTGTAGCCCCTCAAAAATGATCTTTGGTTACTATCTGCGAACAGATGAAAGCACAGTAACAGAGGAAGTTGTTCCCAAACTAAGGAAAAGGATAAAGACTAGTGTCTTTTCCCTACACCATTTCTACATCCAAAATAAATAAACATAAAAAGAATGAAAACACTCAGATTGATATAGTTCTGGTGTGCTGAGGGCAACTGTCTCCCAAAACATGTTCAACTAGTGATTACCAAAGCCTCTCCCAGCCCCAGTCCTTCACAGTCTCAAGGGTTGAGTTTTCTTCCCCTTCCATGTTCCACACTCTGTGTTCCAGTGCTGACAGCACACATTTTGGGAGCCAATGATAATGAGCAGGGTTGTGGCTGAGAAATATGACAGTTTGGGTCTGTGATTTAGACATAAGTCTATGAACGCCTTGATTCAAACCTCTAGTGGAACAGGACATTTAAGAATTGAGCTCTCCACTTTATCCCTTAGATAATGCATTGAATGCCTTTCCTCCTTCACTACTTGTGGGAAATACTATCAATGCCTTCCAAGACCTTCCTTCTGCTAGCCTAAGATTTTCTTGAAGTTATAGATGCCTCTGTGACTTGCTTGAGTCAGGGACACATGAGGAACTTCTGGGAGAAAGCAGGCCCATGCCTGGCACAAGGCTCCTTCCTCTTCACCTCCATGGCAGGCCATGCAGCCTCATTATGTGGCATTACATGGAAATACAGGAAGTGCCAATTTTGTCAGCCTGGACACCTGATGCATAAAGCATTTCCTGTCCTCTCCCCCACCCTGACCTCTCTTGGGCAAGAAATATAATTGAGAGATAAACTATTATTGCTCATTGCTAAAATTTGGATATTGTTTATGATAGCAGCATGATCTTGACAAATATGGGAATTGTCATGCTGAAGGGAAATATAGCTATGGCAGAAACATAAAGTGTGTGGCATTAGCACGACAACAGTTAGTTGCAGGCAGTGAGGATTCTGATGAAAGAAGTCCAAAAGAGGGCTCTCCTTATTGTTCAGTGGCAAAACATTTGTTCCAATACTCACCTGCCCCAAGGAGGAAGTTGTACCCAACAGACTCAATGAACCACAGACCTAATGGATTTAGAGGTCTAGAAGTCAATAAGCTTAACGCTGGTAACAATGTTGATGTAAGCTTGCTTGATAAGGTGTTACAAGATAAGGTGAGCTTAGGAAAGAACTGACCAGCATGCAAGCAGAAGTAAAAAGAAATATAGAATATCCAAAATCTCAGGGCCTGCCAAAGTGGACAGTAATATTCTTGATATTATAGTAAAAGATTGAGAAAGCTTTCCACATTGAAATGACAGTAAAACCTTTCAACTATTTAAAATGCTTTAGGAAAAGAAGAAGTAGAGTTTGGCAATATGTTTTTTAAATTGAATTAAAATCAGAGTAGAGGACACAATCATCGTGTCCCTCCCAATGTAATAGTCACTCCAATGTGTGACATTCCTCTAAAAATCAGGAAACCAAAGAAGTATAGATGTTTCTCAACTTATGTTGATGTCATGTCCTAATTAATCACCACTGCAGGTTGTAAATATTGTGAATGGAAAATGCACATAATATAGCTGATCTACACAACATCCTAGTTTAGCCTAGCCCAATGTGTGCAGAATATTTACATTAGCCCATGTTGGGTGCAGTCATCCAACAGAAAGCCTATTTTGTAATAAAGTTTTTAATATCTCATGGGATTTATTGAATACTGCCCTGAAAATGAAAAAAGAAGAATGGTTTTATGGGTGCTTTTGCACCACCATAAAGTCAACAGATTGTAATTTGAGCCATTGTGAGTTGGGACTATCTGTGTGGTGTTCTAGAGACCATCTCAGAAACAATGTGGGCATGGCCTGCACCTGCTCTTTTCTGGAATTAAGTAATAGGAAACTGGGTATGATTTTGGCATGGAAACCAGGAGGCTACCTTCCTGAGGCACGTAACCATTTGGGAAGGATGTGGCATAGAAATCCTCATGTCCATTCCCTCTTTCTCTTCCTCCTGAGGGAGCTCTATTCCCAACACCTCTTCAGCTGTGGGTGAGGAAGAAAATGGAGAAGGAAGAATCTCCAGGGTGAAGGTAGGAAACATGAACACAGGAGGAGGCTTCTTGGAGTGGGATGAAGAGTTCTTCCTGAAGCTACACACATGCCTCCATTCTGGGGACAACCCCACGGCCTGCCCAGTGTGGTTCACACTGGGCTAGTGACTGCTTGTGTCTCACCTTCCCCTTTCCAAGGGATAGCATGTGCTGTCAGGTCCTGTCCTTGTCCTCCAATTGCTCAGTGGTGTTAGACAACGGTTGTTTTTTGGTTTTTTTTTTTCAGTTCCTGGAGTTTTGGATCAAAATGAGTTGCACACATTTCTGATGAAGACACTACCATGTACTCTTGATGAAGCAAATGGAATTTTTAGGAAAGGAATCGGTGTAGACTGGCTGTAGTAGGGAATAAGAGTAAATAAAACAATTGACTGTGGTGGATATTCATTGGTGACATTCATGCCTGATTCTCCCTTCTTCCCAACACATCTCCATCCCTTAAGGTTAGGGTGCCCTCATGCCTTGCTTTGACCAATGATATATGGGTTGAGGAAGTTCATCCCTTCTGAGGAGAGTACTTAAGAACTGGTGACCAATATTCTATATTTTCTCTTCCCATCATGGTGCACCCTGAAGTCTGAATTGGGTAGCTGTGGGATGCGTGCTAGCTCAAGTACCCACGTGACCTCAATGATGTCAGCAAAGACCTCTTGTGAAGGACAAAGACTTGTTTTTGTAAGCCATTTATTTTTCAGTTGTTGATTCTGCCTGTCCAATACACCACTCACAGATGCAATGTCATAATAACTTGTCAAATCATGTCCTAAATTCCTAAGACTCTAGCTTAAAATGTGAGTATCAGAAACTGTTATTTACTTCTGTACAGCTTTGACATTCATCTACTATTGATTCCATACAATTTTAACTTTCAGTTGAAAATTTTGCTACGTATTTCATCCTATTGATAGAAAGGATTTTTATAGTGTGTTCAACAAAGACTTCAATATACAAAGATGTAACTACCATCCTCATAAGAAAAAAGAAACTAGGGGAATTGAGTTTCCCAGGAAATCATACATTCCAATAAAGGATCTTTCAAAATTGAGATAAAAACAAAGCAAATATTTGAAAATGAGCCAAGATGGAATGTTTCTACCCTGTAGTTCATAAAGTTTTCAGTACACAGAGATCATTGTGCATATGGGCCATGCATAAGAATTGCTTATCCATAAAAGAATTTATGAAAAAAAAAGAATTGCTTACCCATCTATGTCTCCCCAATACCTGGTATCGTCTTTGTACATCACAGACTCCCAGTGCTGCCATGGAAGCTCACATTATTGTCTCACTTCCTTCTCACCATGGCTTGGTTATAAAGGGAATATTATCCTTTGTTATACAGAACCTTCTTGTGAGGGGGCGGAGCTTAACAGAACATTCCTGAGAGATCACACAATTCAAACAGTCACAATCCGTTTCGATACATTGACAGGAGCCCAGCAGCACAAATCTACATTTCCAAAACAAAACATTCTCAGGGAGGAAAAATGGAGGCAAGGCCAGGGCCCGTCTTATTGTACAGCACTTCTCCATCAATATGTATACGGAAACCTAAGCTCTAAGAAGTTATGAATTAGGACACTTGTCCAGATTTATACCATAATACAGTAATACAGCCAAATCTTTCCCCCACGAATGTCTCACTTTAAAGTTCTTATCATTTATTTTATTCATTTGTGATCTAGCATTACTGAATGAATGATTGAGGCAGATATAAAACATATTTAGTATATATGAAAGCATGAAGAAGGCAAGAGGCAGTTCCTACATTGTGAAGAGCAAAGAAGGTGTCTCTTTGGTTGAACTTAAAAAGATTTCCATTAGCATCAATTACCTCACAGATGGACTGCACTATTAATTGGTCTCCTGGTGCTGTGTGATTTGGACTGTCTCCTTGTGACATCACTAGGTTCCAACCCGCTTCTCTCTCCTCCAGGCTTCAGAGAGAGAGAGAGAGAGAGAGATCTTTCCAGGCAAGCACAATGCCCTCCATCAAGACGTTTGGATGTACAAATGTTTGAATTATGGCATGTAGGTCACTTCCACAAAGAGGACAACTATTTCTGGTAACATTTAAAATTTATTGCGATGAGTCAAGGCTACACAAGGTGAACCTTTCCCCTGACCATCATCTGCACAGCCCATTAACTCATTCATGGATTAAAAATGGGTCTTGGGAGAGTTAGTTGGCAGTTGGGCAAAATGCCCATGTATAATGTCACAGAAGAAAGTGTAGTTTCAACTTATACCGTATCTATCTAAACTCTCCAGGAATAATTCAGGTTTTATTATAAAATGCCAGTCCTGTGAGCAAGAAAATGGTAATGAAAAAATCCAGCGATGTATTAATTTTCATTACCATTAGCTAAATTTATTAATAGTCACAGTCTATGTGAAGAATGTTTAACTTTCCCTGGGTGGATTTATTATGTTCTTTTCTGAAAAACAAATACATTCATCTTAGATGCTCATTTTATCTTTCTCTTCCCATACTACATGCTTGATCAATCTTTACATCTATGAATTGCTTGAATTCTAAACCTTTTGGGACAAAGGGTCTTTCCTAAGCGTTCGTACCTCTTTGAATGTGTTGTGGTTTAGATCAAGAATGCCCCAAAGCCCTCAGGTGCTCACTGGTGGGGCTTTTGAAAGGTGAGTGAATCATGAGGCGATAGAGCTGACTTGCAGTTAGATGGGGCATGGCCAGCAGAGGTGGGCACTGGGGTGTGACGTGGCTCCTCCCTTCCCTTCTCTCTCCCCTCCTGGCCACCACGTTGTGAGGAGCTCTTCTTTGCTCAGACCCTTCTCCCATGCTGTTTCCCCCTTGGATCAGCTGACCTGTAATCTTGAGCCAAGCTAAACCTCTCCTTCCTTAAACTGTGAATGTTAGGTATTCTGCCCCAGACAATAAATTGACTAATACAGGAAGTGAGCCTGCAGAGAAGGAGGCACAGTGGGTGGCTGCATCCTGTCATTCCCCCTTACCTCTCTGTCCGTGAGTTTCTCAAGTCAGCCACATGCACTCTCCCTGTCTGCCTCCATGGTGTCCCTGAACAGCATTGTACTCTTTTACCTCCAGAATCATCTTCCATGACCAAAGAGTGAGGCACAGCCCATGGGGCTTCCAAGTCCACCTGTACAGCTTTTTAAAGCCTTCCAGACATCAGCAACTACTACTTCTTCCTTGTTTATAGAAAGACTTTTAAGGGTGACATCAACCATAATAAAATGATACTGCAAAGAGAAGAGGGATGGTTCATATCCATCTTAAGTTGTTCCTGTTTGGGAAGAAATTACCAGAAAAATGTTTTCATCTCTTAATCACAGACAAAGACAATGATTATAATAATTTCTCTTGTTATGCTCTGAGTTCTCATTAAAATGGTTAGAGTGAAGCTTTCCATTCCTCTCCAGGAGAGGGAAGAAGCAATGGCTGGGACCAGCTGTGGAGAAGTAGGCTAAGGAGTGTGGGTGAGGCCCAGCATGCACAAGCACAACCATGTGGAGAAATTGCACTATGAAGTTGCATCATCCAGGAGGCTGGGACAGGATGTGCCATTCAATTTGGGGACAATGTCCAGTTGAGAGCAATTCAATATTCAGGCTTGGCTTCTCTTTCTCATCTTTCCATGATTCATCCATATCTATAGCTACGATTCCAGGGTGATTGCCAATACCCTAATCCAGGTCTTCTCTGACATGATTCTCTCTTCTAATTGAGAGAAAACTTAGTTGTTGACTTAATTTTAAACCAAGCGAACAAGGACTGTTGCAGGTGCACTCTCAGTGTGGATTCCATAACAGTCTGGGGAGCCAGGTGGCCAGAGTAAGAATGTGAGGCCCAGTGTGAGCCTGTTTTGTTGGGGTGCTTCCTGCATTTCTAGATCACACTCCTTGTTCCTTCAGTGGGTTTCTGCTTGCTCTTCTATCCCTCCCTACATAACTCTTTTTATTTTTCTTAGAGTGAAATTATTTAAAAATCCTACCCAGAACTCTCTACCTTCTCAGAAATAGTTTCTTTCACCCAGAAGTAGATATTTAGTAAATCTATGCCATGATACGTGGATCCAATTTGTGCTTAATTTTACCATTTGGTTCTTAACTGACATGCACATTAGGGTGATGAGAGAAACTTTGAAATATACGATTGTCTGGGTCAAACTCCAGAACAACAGAATCAGATTCTTTAGAGCTAGGTGAAGGCAGTATTTAGGAACAATGAAAACAAACAACAACGTTGTGTTCAGGATCAAGATAGTCAAATTATAATGTTAACAGGCCAAATGTTAATACCCATGTGACCCATTTAGCTTTGAACAGAGACAATCTAACCCACTGCTTCTTAATAAAGCAAAGCAAAACTCCAACCACAAAAAGTCCCCTTTACAGTATAGTTTATGACAGCCATTTGTGACAAGGCAGAACAGACACATACAGCACAAGCTATTGCTGCTCTTGGAGTAAACATAACATATAGTAAGGTTCTCCTGTGATAGACACAGTCTTTTGTTCATGCATGCAGGCCATCTAGACTTCCAAATCATGGGTTTGGGCATTAGAAATGTGTATTTGATTGTGGATACCTAGAACAAAGAGTCAGGGCAGAACTCAGGACCATGAAAAACAGGACATCCAAACATAGGAAGGAATAAAAGTGGATTATGTTTGAGTCAGGAATTTAGGGACATAGGATCTGAATATATACACCCGTGACTCAAGGTAGGAAGGAGAGGTAGAGCATGGTTATCAGTTAAGATCCTGATTCCACCTGAGATCCAGGCATAGCAGGTGAGGAACACAAACATAAGCAGTAGCTATAAAGCTCCCAGCAGGTAGGCAGCTGGTGTTGGATAAGCCAAGGACAACTACAGAAGAGCTGACTCCCTTCCAGCCATGGAAGGACAGGTGTTGAGACAGAATTTTTGGTATAACTATGTCCCAAATATTGCATGAACTCTGCTGTCAGGATTGAGGACCTCTAGAGATCGAAGGATCTGCTGAACTCATTTTCTCCTGAGGACAGTCCCTTCCTCCAGAGAGTAGCTTCCCCTTCTCCTGGGTCCCAAGTCCAGCTGGCTGTATCATCACCCCACTGCCTCCCACTGAATCAATTCCAATATTATAGGAATGTTTCTGTAGCAGATGGGCTTGAACACTTAGTTGTGGAAGTCTGGATCCAGTTTTCCAGCAAGAGGAAATGAAAAAGGGAGTTGAAATCAGACCTGGCTGCATATCTAAAATTTACTTAAGCAAATTTTTATAGTTCTTGGAGGAAAGACAGCTAATTTTTTGTTCTGAATTATCCATGTACAAATATGAAGTGATTACTCTAGATGATGTACTTTACATTTCTAATAATAGTTTGGCCCTGTATTCCTCAGATCTTTTCAAGCAAGAGAAATCGACAGAAATAACTGTTAACTCCCTGTTTAGCACAAAAATTGCCATTTAACCAAAGCTCTCAGGGGTTAAACTTTAGCCTTCTTCAGTTATTTATTAATTTATTGATTTATTGGTTGATGAGTAGGTACTGGGCATGGAACCCAAGGCCTCACGCATGCTATGCAAGCTCTCTGCTAGCTCATTTTCCTCGTTTTTATAATTTTGAATTTTGAGACAGGATCTTGCTAAGTTGCCCAGGATGGCCTTAAATTTATGATCCTCCTGCTCCAGCCTCCCAAGTAGCTGGGATTACAGGCATGTACCACTGTGCCTGGCTTTCTTCAGTTATTTGTGAGTAAATCCTGGACCCTTGGACAAATAATGGTACAGGGAACACCAGAAGGTACAAAGTGCCATAAATGAAGAAAGCATTTACAGCCTCACAGGGTCATGGCAACAGGACTCAGCAGTCCCACTGAGTAGATGGGAACCTATTCAATCAATAAAATAGACCAGTTCACTGCACACAGCAAAAAGAGTACCAGGATAAAATAATTAAAGGTCATGCTATTTTTCTTAAAGGGGTGCTTTATCTTACTTTTCCGGAAAGAAATATAGGAAAGGTGACAAAATAATACCAGGTGATAGAGTTTTTGTTGTATGAGAAAGCAGATAATAGTAGTAGGGGTGAAAGATGATTTAATTGGAAAAATCGCTATCATGATACCACTCAGGGACAGGATTGTTAAGTGGTATTGAGGCTAATTCTGGTGATCAGGGTTTGCAGGGGAGTGGATTGACTGCAGGACACATAATTTATAGGATTATTTTATAATATTCACCCAAAAAGTCAAATGCAGAGGAGGGCAAGAGGTCTAGCCACACTCTAGAGACCCAAAGAATCCAGCTGAGGGCCTGGATTCCACGACAGTGTCCTGCACACATCCAGCTGAAGGCCTAGGGCCTAAGGTAGTGTCCTCCACAAGTGCAGCCAGTGGCCTGGAGCCCACAGCCATGTCTCATGCTTGTTCAGACTGAGGATCAACACCCGGAAGGCCCAAAGGCGAGTGGTGGAAGCCAGAAAGCCTGCACCAGTGCGGGGAAGGATTTGGGCCACCAGGCTGAGGGACCTAAATTGGAGACAGGAAGTGATGCTCACGGTGAAGATCAGAGCTCCCCTGACAGAACAGCAGCCGTTCCCAGGGACAGCAAGGCCCCAAGCTCCTCCTTCAATAAGAACAGCCCAGTTCACATCAGGAAACCATCCACAGCAAGCTTCTCCTAGAAAATCAACAGCCCACAGTCTTCCCCTCCAGGTCTCTTTTTATGCCATTGGCAGTAATCCTCAGGTGGGTCTTTCATGCCTAGACCACACTGTTCAGTTCAGCTGGGCGTTACAAGTTGACCATTAGTTAATCCACCACATTATTTATATCATTCATGGGGAGCCAGGTATTTGCATGCAACTAAAGTAATCGGACATGGCCTACCTGCAAGGGATGAGGGAAATGTTACTGCACACAGAGGGGCAGACTGGCACCATCCCAATTCAGCTGGTGTCTCCTGTCACCAGCTGTTGGTCAGCCAGATGTCCAAGCCCCTGATGTGCTGCAAATATCAAGTATGTGACATTGCAGAAGATGAACTCTGAAACGATCGAGCTTTCAGATCTATCTGCCTATTTGTAGAAACTAAAGAGCTGGAGGGTTAAACTGAGAAAGACCGCACAGAAGTAACCACACAAATAAAAGAGGGTGAGAGTTTTCCCCAGAGAAGTTAGCCTCTGAGTTGTTTCTCAGTAAGTTGGTATCATGGATCAAGGAAGGTGACAGGAAATAAACCATGCTGCTTGAAAAGAGGTACAAGGGCCATTGCCACCAGACTCAATGCGTGGCCATGGATTTGGGTCCAGATTTAGCCAGAACAACTCTGGAAGATACTTAACAGACAGTTGAGGAATTTTGTTATTGCATAGGGGATTTTTTACATAAAAATTGTATATTATTTGCTTTAAAATATAACTGGTACCATCTCCTCTTGGTAAGGACATGTGTCTCTCTGTAGAGAAAGGAGCTGTGGGTGTGTCCCCCAGGGTGGACAATGTCTTCTCTGGTTGGTAGCAGAATGCATTTCACTTTTGTTTATTGTTCTAATCTCTATTTTCCAACTTTACATAGTCATCATGCAGCTTTTGAAATGAATAAAACATGTTCAATTGAGTAAAATAAGCATTCTTAATAAAGATACATGTCCAAGTCCTTTAAAAAGTATTAAATTTTGCTTTCCAGAACTTTGGCTTCTGTTTTGAGTGCATTCTCCTCAGAATTTCTGAGTGGCTCAGAAAACATGTTTTTCTTCCTTTAGATTTCACAAAGTTATCCAACCTAACCTAGAAGAAATCCTTTCCAAATCCCTTGAGAAAACTTCTTTTTCACTGAACTTTGATCCCACCAGAAGCAATATTTGTAAAGAAAAATCTGTTGCTTCTCTACAAATTCAGTCTGATGTTAGATCAAAGGAATTCAGATAAACAGTGGGGCGGTAGATTTCAAGTTCAAGATAAATTTCTAATTTAAACTTCTAAAGAAGTTTTTGAAGCTGTTACATAACTATAACAAAAACTGCAGGAAACAGAATGAAGGACAACTTTAACGGTAAGAGCAGTAACATTTACAAATGTATACAAAACTTTAGTGACCTTTATTATCATGTTTAGCAATGACTGGAAACTGAGGCAGTAAAAATGGAATATGTTGGATGGATTATTACTGGATGAATTACAAATGCATGAATTATCATTTTAAGATTTATATTAAAAATTTCAGAAGTACTTACTCTAGTGCCTGTGTAGTCAATAGCTTTAT